TAGCCACTGTAAAAAAAGTGGAAGAATATGATTTATTAATTAGCCACTGTAAAAAAGTGGAAGAATATGATTTATTAATTAGCCACTGTAAAAAAAGTGGAAGAATATGATTTATCAATTAGCCACTGTAAAAAAGTGGAAGAATATGATTTATTAATTACTCATAGGCCGAATTACTATGTATAGATGTTTATATAGTTGTTATATGCCACTGTGAGAGTTGTTTGGAACTTTCAATAGGAAATCGATAAAATTCAATGCTGCTTGGTGTTTAAAATCATTTTGCTATGAATTAGTACAGTGAGATATCCCATTATAAATATTGTGAAATATACTGGAAAAGAAGGAATAATCATTATTAATTAATTATTAAAATCTATGGATTTAGTAACGTTTTGTTTAACTGCTTCATTATGCTACTTGGTGGTGTCTTACTACTTACCCCACTTTCTCCCATGAAGAACAGGACAAGCACCATGAAGGGTCAAATTGTCTTCTGTGCCATTCTTTTTCAGGTTATACCAGAAAACTGCAGAACCCTACAAAACATCAATAAAATAAATATTTAAAACCTTTTCAGTGACACACCAGACAAGATTAACTTTAAAACAATTTCATTATAAGCAGATAATTGAAAAACCTGCTAAACGATTCGATACAGTTTAAATGTCTTCCTCAGTGCGTGGTTACTATTTGATCTGATTCATTGTAGGAAATTAATTAAATACAACTGCAGTAGTAACAGCTGGTACTTTGGTGGTATAATTACACTGGTACCTCTGTTCAGAGGCGGCTTAAGGGGGAGTAAATGGATGCGATTGCCCCGGGTCACCGGATCAAATTGGCTCCTGACTAGCTGAAAAATATATAAGAGAAGAGGGAATCCTCAATAGTCGTATCTGTAATTAGATCTCAAATCGGCCAAGAGATGGAGCTATGAGCTAAAAGTTTCTACTTGAAAAAAACAAAAAAACAACTCAGAACCATTCTATGAGCCGCTATGCTGCGGCTAAAAAAATAATCAAAAAACAGATGTATCATTAGAAAATATATGTTTGTAACTGTGTAACTATGGTAATAGCGATTTTAGTCGTCTCATATAAAGCTATTATTTTGTGTTTTTCATTCAAGTGTTCTTACAGCTTGTTTTTTTGTTTCCGTAAATGTCTGCTCGACCATTTAAAAAAGATAATTCTGGAGAAAATGGAGCTGGGTGACACTTTACCCAATGTATCTATTGTCGTTCATCTACCTAAACCTAGTGGTAACTAACTGTAATGGCGAGAGATCACTCAGTAAATATCGACGATCATAAACAAGCTAAGGCCAACAACGACAGACAAGTGATTGGGTGCCTTAGCTTTTCTTTCGATTGGAAGTGACATGTTGAGAACGACTGATTTTGGATCGACAGTTAGAGATTTAGACTCCTGATGTTTATAAAGCCACAAAGAGTGTGTATATAATTTAATTAACAAGCTGGTTTCTGGCTTGAAAAAAGAGCGTTTGCTCGAAACGTCGCCAAGTAAATATATTACTACCATAGTTTTTAAAGGCGATTTTCTCTAAAAATATAATTTCTTTATTTTATCACCTTCTCATTTTTCTATTTATGTGTGCGCATGTGTGTATTGCTCAAACTGTAGTTAATAAATAGTATTTAGTTGTATTTGACTTATTTATGACGTTGAATTCATACACACCCCACCCTTCCCCTCCCAAAGTCGTTAATCTCTTTATGTGATTCTGGTCTCCGGTTCGTCATGACTCACGAAAAATGCGTTCTCAACCTTTTTAGTAACACGGCCCAGCTAAACTTTAAAAATTTCCCGCGGCTCACCGCAGAAAATTACAGAAGTACGACACGTATCACAATGTTGTTTCATAGTTGCTACGCTGGTTTATGCGTGTGACATTAATCTATAGTTAGCATTTGCGACGTATTCTCTAGTTTGCATTATACTCTTGCTGTTTTGCAATTTTTTTAAATATTGTCATCTAATCTTAAGCCTTTTCGTGGCCCACCGGTTGAGAAACACTGATCTAAAACATACCAACATAGTGCCTTTTAGCTAGTGTTAACGCAACCCAATGGAATATTAAAGCACCTTAAAGTCCAATGTGTAGTAAACTTGGAGATCAAAAATTTCCGAATATTAGAATTTCTACTAAATTTGAATAAATGAAAAAAATAAAAATATCAGTTTAGATTCAGAAGTGATGCTCACGCTTTTTTAAATGTAAAAAATATGTTTAACAGTTTTTGGACAATTTTTTTTATCTTTAAATTTAACATTAGGCCATCACAAGTTTGACGAATAACAGAATAGTCAGTAATACTCTCTAAAATACATAATTAATATAATATACATATATGAAGTATAATAAAACTTTTCATGCAAAATGAAATTCACGCATCACATTTTGCCAAATGTGTTCAACTTAAATAGAAGGATGTCTTCCATGGGGTTAGTAGTAAGTTTACAGACTTACAACTAAACTCCAGGATTTGATACCCCATGGTGGACAGAGATTGGACAAACAATTTACATATATACTTTCCAACAAACGCAAATCTGTTAGGCTTAATGAGTGTGATTTGTTGTAAGGACTGAAAAAGAAACATTCTAGTAGTAACGAAAACTTTACCCTGAAATAAAGCAAATGTTAAGCTTACCTTTAAAGGCCACACACCTGCTCCAACTTTCGGGAAAACGGTAGCGCCACCTCTAGTCACGTCAGTTAACTGAGAATGATGTTAAAGATAGCCTTGAATCTTCAATATATTCCAACAAATTTATCAGGTGGAAAACTAAGTTTTTTATCTAAATATTAAAAACACAGTAATACCAAACAATGTTTTTTAGTTACGAAAGTTTGTTTCAAACTCTACCTTTAGCGTTAAAACCTCAAAAAAATCAATTCACAATATTGTAACTACAAAAGACAGCATAACTATTAGGTGAAACGTTTTTATATGCAACCAAAAGTTTAGAAATAACACATATTTAAATTGTAAGAATATAACGGAAAGTACGATAAAACAATTCCAAAACATCCTTGAGAAAAAATGGTTTTGGTGCTACCGTGTTTCAAACATTTCTTATAATACATTCCACGTTTTATTCAAAGCTGAAACTTCTCAAACATGATACAATGAGTTTTCTGTAAATTTATTTAACCCTTAAAAAGTTATAGATCATGTTCTGATATTTAAAACATAAGAAAAATACAGAGAGTAGATATAATTTGTTTGTTATAGATTTCGCGCAAAGCTACACGAGGGCTATCTGCGTTAACCGTCCCTAATTTAGCAGTGTAAGACTAGAGGGAAATCAGCTACTCATCACCACCCGCCACCAACTCTTGAACTACTCTTTTACCAACGAATAGTGGGATTGACCGTCACATTATAACGCCCCCACGGCTGAAAGGGCAAGCATGTTTGGTGTGACGGGGATTCGAACCCGCGACCCTAACCACCTGGCCATGCCGGGCCTGAGTGGATATAAAAAAAACTTTGTTTCGTGAGGTGACAATGTTTGGTGTGACGGGGATTCGAACCCGCGACCCTAACCACCTGGCCATGCCGGGCCTGAGTGGATATAAAAAAAACTTTGTTTCGTGAGGTGACAATGTTTGGTGTGACGGGGATTCGAACCCGCGACCCTAACCACCTGGCCATGCCGGGCCTGAGTGGAT